AGCCAGTCTTACAAAGCAATGTCACACAACCCCACGAAGTGAAGTATTTTATGATGTAAGAACTGCCACCAATACATATTTAGAAAATAATTATTTTCAGTTACAAGACCTACAAAATTTGAGGAATAAAGAATAAACATCAACGATAAGTTTGTAGTTCTATGTAAGGATGATCTCCCAAGATTTTGACAGCTCCAAGTTCTCGTTCTTCGTGTTATAAATAAGCAAGACATGCACATCTAGTCCTATTGTTTGTACTCAATGCAAACATTTAACAACCATCATTTGATGAGCTGTGATCATTAGCGAATGCTTAGTCATTACTCGGTTTCAAAAGTATATTAATGATCAATTGGCAAGAGTAAGAAGACAATTAATAGAGCAAATTATGGGTGTTGACAGGTAATTAAGAACTGTTTCAAATGATATCTGAAATGATGAACTTTCATACATGTAAATATACAATACAAACCAAAGAGGATGCATGTTAGGAACCTGGTATATTATACATTTCTGTTAGCGGTTCAGTTCATGATTTAGAGCAAATCCAAACTCCACCATCTACTTTCTCACCTGTACCAAAATCCATACACCCAGCACCCCAGTCCTAATCATGCTCCACAGACTCTGTCTCCCAACAAATTGACTTCAAAGTCCTCATCCTCACCTATAAATCCTTTAAAGTCCTATCAGTTCTCTATCTCTGTGTCCTTCTCCTACTGCATTCTTACACTCACCAGATCTGTTTGGCTAACTCGGGCCTACTGTGCATATCTTGCTCCCCCACCCCCTCCATACCATCATCAGTGATGGAGCCACTAAGCTCTGGAACTCCCTCTATACACTCCTCCACATCACTCTCTCTCTCTATCCGTCTTTAAATCCTGCATAAAACCTTCCTCCTTGACGCTGTCTCTTGTCACCTCTTACTCCCCCTCTCCCTTTTTCCAACACTAATCCTATCTTTGTGAAGAGTTCCGAGAGATTATCCAACATGAACGGCCTGTATAAACGCATGTTGTTGTTGTGATTTAGTCATTGCACTTAAGTGAAATGGAGATGGTGAGTTTAACAGGGATCTAAAGGAAGATGACAAGCGTAGAGTGGATTTATCAGTGAAAGAATGCATAGCGTTAACAACAACAACAATATTCCATTCATAGAGCGCCTTTCACGTCGGGAGGACATCCCGACGTGACATTAAAATATTAACCTAGATGTAAATTCTACAAACAATATTGATACAGATTGTTGATAAATGGATTGTACTGAACAAAACATATAAAATTTGCACCCAAAAATGAAGCAGTACATAACAGCAGAAAATACCATAAAGAGATTTCAAGCAAGTAATTTAATCTTGGTGTTCAATCACAATTAAGAATTAAAGCTTAGTGACAAATAATGACAAACTGTGGGTCACATATACAGCGTAAATGTTAATGCAGTGAGTTAATTCTGAGTGGTAACAGGGACTTGTTTCCTGTTTCAATTTTGCCAAGAACACATAATATTTAAGTCAGTTGTCATGGAGTTTGATATTTAAACTAACTCCATGTGTCATTGCCATTGGCAATTTTTAAAAAAATACAAACCAAGCTTGAAGATCACAGGTTCTTACCGGTGACACACTGTACACCAGACTCATTGAATCCCATACATTCAGGAACTCAGGGTGAGCAGTCATGCATAATGAAAGTTACAAGTGCAGTCCTTAGAAACAGCTCAGGCTTTGATTGTTATAATGGTTGTAGTTCCAAGATATATTCTGCTCTGAAACAGCTGTTAGTTAAGCTTGGGCCATACAGGTTGTCACTATTTAAAACATTTATTCATAATACTACATTGAATGCATCCATTATTGTAGATTTAATTTGCAGGTTATATTACCAATATGAGCAGTAAAATAGTCAGCTACTAAATTCTCTTATCAGAGCCTTTTGAAACTACATAGTAAAATAATACTACAAATACTGCAGAAGTGGATGTCACTACGATTATGAAATAGAATTGACAAAATAAAATAGCATGATTTTAACTTATTCCAGATATAACTTTATCTAACACATTACAATCAGAAGGAAACATGCAAAGTTGCTGTGCGCAATTGGCTGCCGCTTTCGCCCACAAATATACAGTCAATTCACTTTACAGTGTGTTCTGTGAAGCGCTTTGGGACGTCCTCCCGACGTGAAAAGCGCTATATCAAATGCAAGGATTATTATTATTATTATTATTATTATTATTAAAGTAACAATCTTGGTTTCACAGGCACTGCACTTTCTGGTTATTTAATCAAGCAGTTAAATACATAAGTGTGGTATAGAGTTATACAGACTCCGAACGTTTCAGGCATCATTCCTGGTATGTACTGAGTTCATTAATCTTACCTGTGGTGGCTGTTGGGACACTACAATTGGCCTCAGTATTCCAAGTTCATAATTGGACTGGAAGGAAGTCATTTGAGGGAGTTTGTGGATGACAACCAAACCAAAGTTTTTGATGAATTTCTTTATTGGATTAAAGCAATGAAAAGCTAAAGACAATGTCCTTGAACTTTTAAAGCATATTTGAGTATGTGATTGATGTTTCAGCGGAGGTGGTGGGCTCATGAAAGCAATATTCTATTAGTTTGCGTGATTGAGATTGAGAGCGAGCACCTATGTGGTTGCCTTGGCTACTAATGTAGTGCCAGTGGGCTTTCTACAGTCAAAATGTTATAAAAGTATCTCACTCACATCACCGAGAATTGAAAAGAAATGTCTAAAACTAATTTAGTTACTAACCTTGAAAAATGTTTCCAGCACTTTCTGTAGTATCCCCCTCCAGTTATTCAAGGATGCACTCGGCTCGTGTAGTTCCATTGCAAAAAAACAATCTGGATCTTGTAACTGACACAATAAAACCAGTTGTTTAAAGAAGTGCAGTAATTTGGCACAGAACCCCAAATGTTATGCATGGAGTTACTTTATATACTCACTGGTCCTTTCTTTTGTGCTTTCATACTGCTGGTTAGACACAACCCAGGAGCAGATATTTTCTGCAGAATTTCCTCTTCAGGGACTTTATGAATTGAGAGTCTTGCCTACATCACCTGTTCACGTCAGTACCAGGACTGGGCAACCTTGTATAAATGTCTGGTTCCAGATTTCCTTTGAGAGCATAAAATTGAAACAAGGAGACCTAAGACATCACTCGGGCTGTAGGTATAATAATAATAATAATAATAATAATCCTTGCATTTTATGTTTCAATTAAAAAAACATTGATCTGGCTGTTGGATACAAGGGATGAAATGAAAGCAGGTAAGGCTGAAAACAGTGCACTTAGAAATACTGTAGTTTGCTTAGGAAAATCACTGGAAATCCGATCTGCCTTCACTTGTTTCAGAAATCGAATCAATTTACTTCACCCACAGTTAACAGGTCTGCTATAAAACAGCAACAAACAACTGTCCTAATTGTCTAAAGAAACAGAGAATGAATCCACAGCCCATTCTAAAAACCGAGGGTTGGATTAGTTAATTTCCCCGTCCGATTCTTCGTGGCATATATTTTTTTAAAAAAGAAAACGATTACAATCAGAATCGTTTCATATGATAAAGACGTCCAAAAGACAAATACTCGTTGATCCTCTTCCTCAGTGATAACTCCCTCCTTGAAAAAAACGTGGTACATATAAGGTTACAGGTGCATTCCCTAAAGGTCCTTTTGGTTTTTTTTACGGTATTAAATAAACAAACACACAAACAGACAAACCAAAACAAATCCCAAAGTTGTTGTGTGTTATTTTATATATATATATATAAAAGAAACACAGACACAGTTACAGGTGTTCAGCCGACAAGAAGAAAATGGGGGAAACAAAACATAAGTTTCGTTACAAAAGAAAGTACAGTCGCGGGCGGGTGACTTGTTGAATGAATGTGTGTGTGTGTGTGGGGGTGTGTGTGTGGGGGTGTGTGTGTGGTGTTTGTGGAGGGGGGTGTGCAGGGTGTGTGGGGGGTGTGTGTATGTGTGGGGGGGGTGTGGGGGTGTGTGTGTGTGTGGGGGGGTTGGTGTGGGGAGTGTGTGTAGGGTGTGGGGGGGGTGTGTAGGGTGTATGTGTGTGGGGGGGGTGTGTGGGGTGTGTAGGGTGTATGTGTGTAGGGTGTATGTGTGTGGGGGGGTTTGTGTGTGGGGGGGTGTGTGGGTGTGTGTGTGGGGGGTTGTGTGTGGGGGTTGTGTGTGGGGGTGTGGGGGGTGTGTGGGGGGGTGTAGGGGTTGTGTGTAGGGTGTATGTGTGTGGGGGGGTTTGTGTGGGGGGTGTGTGTGTGGGGGGGGGTGTGGGGGGTGTGTGTAGGGTGTATGTGTGTGTAGGGTGTATGTGTGTGGGGGGGGTGTGTGTAGGGTGTATGTGTGTGGAGGGTGTATGTGTGTGGGGGGTGTGTGGGGGGGGTGTGGAGGGGGTTGTGCGGGGGGGGGGGAGGGAATCACATGATAGTTAGTTTAATGTTGGGGGACAGAGAGTGAAGTGAGGGAGTGAGGCAGTGCTCAGAGGTTTGCTCCCGTCTCGGTACCGCGACAAAAAAAGGGAACCAGAGAAGCGCACAGACAGACACACACACAGACACACACAGACAGACAGAAAGGGAAAGAGACAGAGAGACAGACAGAGGGGGAAATTTCCCAGCGGCTGAAATAAGGAGTCACTTAACTGTCCGGCCCGAGCCCGAGCCGAGCCGAGCCGAGCCCACCATGGCGAGCTGACACTTCCGCCGAGTCTGAGTGTCGGTGGGGACCGGAGGAGTTGTGTGGGGAGAGAGAGAGAGAGAGGGGGGGAAAGGGGAGAGGAAAAGGGGGGGAAGGAAGGAAGGAAGGAATTCGTTGCGTCCGGGGGCCGCCGCTTTAAGGACTGATTTCCCTCCCCTCTCCCTCCCTCCTTCCCTCTGTGACTTGTTTTCCCACCAAACACACCTCAGCCATAGAGAGAGAGAGAGAGGGTGAGTCAGTCGTCGTCGTCGCCGCCGGCAGCGAGGCGAGGAGGGAGGGGGGGAAGCGGAGCCCGACTGAGGGAGGCGAGGCGGCAAGATGGCGGCCGAGGCGCTGCAGGTAAGAAAGTGACCGAGCGGGGAGCGGGGAGCAACAGGCGGGAGAGCAGCCTTCCCCGGAGTCTTGAGGGAGTCCCGCGGCCTCTCCTCTCTTCTCCCCTCCCCTCCCCCCTCCCCCCCCCCGGGGAGTGAGGGTGGAGGAGAGAGAGAGAGAGAGAGTTGGCTCGAGGAGGGGGGTATTGGGCTCGAGGGGGTGAGGGCGAGAGGGGAGAGAGAGTCCGACCCCGGGAGGGCCTGGGGGTGGTGTGTGTGATGGGGGTGGAGGGTGAGGGGTGGGGGGGGGGTGTTGGGAGTGAGGAAGAGCGGGCCCGGCGGAGAGGGAGAGGGAGAGAGGGGGAACACTCTTGCATTGGAGTAGGGAGGGGGAGAAGGAGAAAGAGTGGGGGAGAGAGTCCGGGGTACGAGGTTACACGGTGGGGGGGGGGGGAGGATGGGATGGGGTGGTCTGGGCAAAGCCGAGGAGCTGTTTTAATTGACTGGGGTCGGGGTGGGTGGGGGGGACATTTCCTGACATGGAGTTTCCCTGTTTTCTGAGGCAAAACATTTCCACTGGATTTGTTGGAAGTTTGTCTCGAAAAGAAAAGAAGGGAAGAGAATCGAAACCAAACCAAACCAAACGAAACGACGACAAAACAAAACAAAACAAAAAAGAGAAAGAAAGAAAGAAAGAAAAAAGTCCGGACTGACTGTGACTGACAACAGAGGAAAAGTTGCCGAAGGGTAGAGAGCGAAAGTTCCTCGGGAGTCTGACCTCTCTCTCTCTCTCTCTCTCGCTCTCTCTCTCTCTCTCTCCCCCGGGCCTAAGAGTGGGTGTTGGGGAGTTTGTGGTGTTGGTGTCAGGCAGTTGGTGGGTGGGGTATTGAAAGAGGGATGAAATAATACTGTTTCAATTGCTGGTTTCTTCTTGGCTTCCTGCCCCCCCCCCCCCCACCCCCATTGCTTAATATTCCCTAATATTAATATTAATATTCTCTCACTCATTGCTTAATATTCCTCTCATGGAGGCGGTGAGAGAGCGAGTTTGCAAAGCCAACTCCTTTGCTTGGGAGCACCAATCATCAGTCCAGCGCTCCGAGGTAAACTCGCAGCTGGGAGACAGCTACTTACAAAAATCCGAAGAGGTGGAGCGGTTTGCTAACTTCATACCTGGGACATAACGTTTAACACGACAGTGTGGGGGGTGTTTGGGGTTTCTCTCTTTCTTTGCGGCTTTTGGGGGGAAAGCAAACCGCATGAGAGAGGTTTTCGGATTTTAATTGAGGTCCTGTTAGCCCAAGTGGTGCAAATGGGACCTGCGGTTTGTTGTACTGAACATGGTATCTTGGGAAGTGTTTTTTTCTCTCTCTCTGCCCTAAGATCAATTTTTTTTTAAGCGTATGGTTAATTGATATTGGGGGATAGGTTTTCAAGGGTTTTGTCAAGCGGGAAAGCGGTAGCCCCCCCCCCCCCCCCACCCCCAGTGCTTTTTTTGTTTGCAAAATCTATCGAAGTCAAGTGAGTCGAGTTTCTTTCTATACACACCTGTAAGAATCATTATAGTTTGATAATGTCTATTGAAGTATTGCCCAGTGAAGCATCAGGAGACTAAATTTATGAAAGGAACGGAATTACATTTCCATCAAGATATTTTGTGTGATCTATTACAATTGGAACTTTTATTTCACAAAAAAATTGCTGTTCAAAAACCTAAATGCTGTAGCGTATTATCTGTAGTAAACATTCAAGAGTATAATACAGTATGAGTTTTACTTGGCAAAAGAACATTCTTTTGGTCAGTTATTGCTATCGGCATTCCTGGTTCTTTTTCCTGAATGTGTTCTTCCCTTTTACCTATTTGTTATTTGCATTTTCTCATTTGCGCTTTATATTTTGGCCTCTTGCTTTCGCACTCTTTTTGTCAGTGCTGTCCCTCTTCCTACAAATTTGCATATGGTTACCACTTCGTTTGTTTGTGTAAACTCATCACCATGCTTAAGAGATGTAGTTTCAATCAGAGTTCTACATGTTATGCCACCTATCCATGGAAATTTCCTTGTGTCTGGAAGTAGCTTTGAGATATCCTCCTGAAGTGAAAGGTGCTATATATTATATAGAATTTGTGATCTTACCAAGATCATAGATGGAGATGATCTTGTGTTTTGTCATTCATTCTCCTTTTGAAAAGGTTCCTAGGAAGTGGTTAAATATATTTTGGATATGGAAATCAATCTATTTCTATTTTGAGCCTCTCGGGTGAGTGTGGGAGAAACCTTCCTTCATATAATACCAACTTGCATGTATTTCTTGCTATAAACAATTTTTGTTTACTTGTGAGTACTCTTCAATCCAATGATCCACCATAGTGACCATAGTGACTAAAAGTGTAGAAACTTGATAGCTGTGTTGGAAATGTGCCTGTTCTCTACTCTCAGCAATTCCCAGATAACATTGTTGAGACTAACTTGCTCATGGGAAATCATGTGTGAACCCATGTGCAAATCCATGTCTTGCCGCTCTACTTCATAGTATGTGGATGCTCCAAAGAGCTGTGCCACTGCATTATGCAACAAGCTGGAAAGCTGGGTGACAAACATAATGGTAATAAGTAGTACGGCTTAAAGAATAAATGATTTTAAGATAATAACACATGTTTAGAAGTGTGTGGTAGATTCATTTAAAAAAAGGCTTTGGATAAATTATATACTTCAGAGGTGTTTAATGCAAGCAAGAAGATTTCAAGTGATGAGTGACCATGCTGAAAATTATACATTGTATTGTAAATCTTAGGGTCTGAGCTGTCAAGGTGATGGATAACTTGAGAGTTACGGGCACAGTGAGGAATTAGTGCTAGAAAATTGAACACTTTCCCATTTTACTCAATGTCTGTATCAAGTGCTCACAGACCAGGAAATATGGGATAGAGTGATACTCCCTGTACCAGCTACATAGTGGGACTTTGAGCTCGCTGTCTAGGCTGGTACTCCAATCCAGGGGTGGGAGAGTGCTGATCCATCAGAGGTGCCATTCTTTGGTGAGATGTTAAACCGAGATCCTGTCAGCCTGATCAGATGGACGTTAAAGATCCCATAGGACTATTCAAAAAGAGAAGGGAGTTTCTCCCTTTGAACAACAATCCCTCAGTTAAAAACAATTTGCCAGTCACTTCATGGCTCTTTGTGTGACTTTGCTGTGTGCGATTTGGTTGCAGTGTTCGCCTATAAATTGTCACTCCACCTTACAGAAAGCCCTGGAGCATTTTGAGATGTTTTGATATGAAAAGGTACGATGTCAAATGCAAGGGATATTCTTAATATAAGAATTTGCCTTAGCCCAACCTTTGAATAGTACCCTCCACTGCACCATAGTGATATTTTCCATTTCTAACACCATTCAACCATTCTGTGACCTTTTTGAATGAGAATGCCAATTTAATACCAAATTAGGGCAGTTCCATGCTGTAAGCCAATACTTACTAGGAACTGGATTGAGACTGTCCAGACTCATTTTACAGTACAGTACTTTTAAAGCAGCAGAGAGAGATTTCCATCCCATATGTTTGGGCCTGGATTTAAGCCTACATCTGGAGGTGAAAGAATCATGTCCTAATCTGCTGTTCGACTCTCCCTGTAACTAGATTGAACAGCTATTTGCAATGGATTACAATGGATTATTTTGTTGCATCGACAAAATATTGTTTTCCAAAACTAAATTTCCAAATCTTGAACGTACCTTCCGAGGAATAGATGTAGGTGTACAGGGTTTATTTCTAAATTTCTTTTCAAGATATGAGTGTTGTGCTGCTCTTGCAAAAATGTTGTGCAAGTTTTTATTGCTGAATATTCTGAAGTATAAATTGTCAGTGATACAAAACATGTGTTTATAACATTGTAACCTTGTAGTTGTTGTGCCAAATTCTCAAAGGGTTTTTATTTATGGTCCATTTTATCAGCCGGTTATAGCTACTGTACTATATTTGGTATGTTCAAATGTAATCATACAAAATAAAAGAATTTGATTAGTGAAAACCTCAGTATCTCAGAAAAATCTTACAGTAATGTTCTGTGGGAATTTGGAGGTTACCTGGTATGTGACAGTATTTTTCTTTCAGAGATTGATATGTGTATTATACTTTATGTAAAATGAAGTGGTGAGTCTAATGAGTGTTGGAAGATTATTAAATGAGTAAACTGAATTAAAGGATTAATTCAAAGGTTATAGCTACAAATGCATCCATTTAATTACTGTATACTGATGTTAAATCACTTATGCAGTAGTCTAGGAAATTGTGAAATTGTGGCCTGTTAATGCGGTCTAGAAGTAAATAGAAACAAGAAATACTTGCTTCCGAAATTTGATATGGTAACATCATTTTTTTTTAAAAATTAATCCAAAGAAGATCTGACTTGCCTCAATTATTCAAATTTTAAAAAGGAAAGCACACTCTAGAATTTGCAGATCTGAACATAATCCATCAACATGTGTCAGGGGCTTTATGTTTGCCCACAATTTCATCTCTGGTATATGCTCCATGACCTTTCAATATAAAGGCTTCCATATGTTGGATGCCATGTAATATGATATTGAATATTTCATCACATCTGGCGAGTATTGCAAATTATTTTCTAAATATTTATTTTGGATAGCCTATTTTTCACTTCTCCATTGTCTCAAATAAGTGTTTGTGCACCCTCCCTGTAAAATGGAAGCACTCAAGAATTCTAGTGCATTTCTGAAGCTAACCAGCCTTTAATCCATTTAGAACAGATCCATGTAGATATACTAACAGATTTTGAATGTTTCATCACACCTGACTTCAATCATTACACAAATATTTCTTAACCACATTTACATGTGCAGAAGTTAAGTTTCATTTGTTACAATAATAGCACTGCAGGTAAATGGGACCCTTGTACGCACCCCTGAAGGATCCAGAATGTACCAAACTATAATTTTCTTGGTTGCTCCAGTATTTAATGTAACCATCTCTTTGAAGGCAGGGAAAGACGTCTTTGCTATCTGTTG